AGAGCACGTTACAGTATTCCAGCCTAGAGGTCACGAGGGTGTGAGTGACTGTTGTGAGAGCCTCCCGATTCAGGTAGGGTTGCAACTGGCGCACCAGGCGAACCTGGGCAAATGCCCCCCTGGTCACAGCTGACAGGTGGTAATCAAAGGTCAGCTGTGGATCCAGGAGGACTCCCAAGTTGCGAACCCTGTCTGAGGGGTGTAAAATTTGGCCCCCCAGCCTAAGCGATGGAACACTAACCAAATTATTGGGAGGGAAACACAACAGCCACTCGGTCTTATCCGGATTATGATTATGCCATGAAAAATAATGGCTGCCTTAGAAGTAGTCCTTGACTTAATGACCATTCATTTAGTGGCCCTTCAAAGCTGCAACGGCCCTGGAAAAAGTGGCTTATGTCCGTCACTCGCACTAAAGACTGTTGCAGAATCCCCATGGTCATGTGAGATGAATTCAGCTGCTTGACCACTGACTCATATTTATGACGGTTGCCATGTGTCAGGGTCATATGGAGCTTCTGACAATGGGGAAGCCAGATTTGTTTAAGAACCGTGTTACTTGTTAACAACTGCAGTGATTCATGTGTTGGAAGAAATGTCCATCTGGGTTCAGTTCCAAGTGGGGAAAAAGGCACTGGATTCAAGGAAGTTGCTTGGAAAGGAGGTTTCATGGTAGACAGGATGACAGGCCCTGGAGATCTTGAAGAAAAAGGGGCACAGATGCTGAGAGTGCCCAGGTTTCATGTCCTTTCTGGGCCCTTGAATTTGAGCTTGTATTCTGATTGGTTGTCAGACTCCCATGGGGCCATGCAGGGGCAACTCCTGTAGGTTGTCCTGAGTCCCAAGCTTGTTTGAGACTTGCTGGATGATGTAATTGTCTGCTACCCATCATAACCCAGGACACAGCCCCTGCGGGCACAGTCCTTTTAATTGACAACCTGGAGTTGCCACTTTCCCCAACTGACATCGCAGCCCATTCAAAAAAAGATCCCACTCTCTCAAAAGTTCTGGAATGGGTCTGGTGGGATTGGCCCACAGAGCAATTATCTGTAGAGTTCCTACCATTCTTTAGGGAATGGTTGGTGCTCTCTGAACTCAAAGATTGTTTATTATGGGGAAAGTAGTGGTACCACCCCCTTTGTGCACCCCTATTTTACAGTATCTGCATTTGAGCCACCCTGGCATAGCCAGAATGAAAGCTTTGGGTCGTGGTTATGTTTGGTGGCCCAAACTGGATGCTGACATACAAGCCTGGGTTATGGCATGCCTTCCATGCTAAACATCTGGACAAGCTCCCCCGACAGCTCCTCCCAGGGACTGGGAAATAACAAGGGGACCTTGGACCCGCATCCATTTAGATTTTGCTGGCCCAATCCAGGGCCATTCCTTCCTTGCGGTAGTTGATGCATTTTCACATTGGGTCGAACTGTGTTCAATGCTATCCACCACATCTGAAGCCACTATCAAAATATTACAATGTTTATTTGCAACACACAGCATACCAGACACTATAGTATCCGATAATGGCCTACAGCTAACTTCTACTACATTCCAATCCTTTCTAGCTAGCCTCAGAATTCAACACGCACTAGTGGCTCCATATCACCCGGCCAGCAATGGTCAGGCTGAATGAGCTGTGCGATCCACCAAGAAAGCATTAGGCCGCATAGGGGTGGTTCCTTGGGAACAGAAACTTAACACATACTTGTTTTCTCAACATACAACACCCTGCCCAATTTTGGAAAAGTCCAGCCAAACTTCTTACGGGATTTCGTACTTTGCTTGACCGTTTGCATCCCACATATGCTGCCACAACTCAGTGGCACACAAACTTTTAAACTGGGGAAAGAGGTATTTGCAAGAAACTGTATTGGGGATCCTAAATGGGTTCCAGGCCAGATTGCCCGTATGACCAGCCCATGTTCTTATATGGTCTGGTTAGAGGACGGTCGCCAGTGGTGGTGCTACATAGACCAGCTATGGCATCGCAAAACACACCTGGAACCCCCAAAGAGATTGCGGAGCCAGCTGAGTCCACATGTCCCAGGTCCTGCCAATTGGAATACCCCCTGGGCCTACCTTATCCTTCACCTAAACCCGCCTCATTCTCGTCGGTTGACTCACCTGCAAGTTCCAGTCGTCCGGAGAGGGCAGGGTCTTCTGGAGGCCTCAATCTGTGTAGTCCAACAGCAGTGGAGGTGCCAGAACAATCTTCATCTCTGGCGGCTGCAGTTGAACTAAGATGTTCTGGATGGAGCCATCATAGACCCGCCTATTTAAGAGACTATGTCTGCGCTAACTGGACGGAAGGAGTGTTACGTCCCTGCATGTTCCGGCCAAGCCTGTTAATCAAACCTGGTGCGAACAGGATTGGTTAAGATGCAGCAGCCTCCAGGTGGGAAATTAAAGGGCTCTCATTGGCTACTCGCACTGACAACTGCGAGTATAAAAGAGTTGTCAGGTGGCAAAAGTTCGTTCTTGTGGTTGCTTAGTTGAGTTAATAAAATCTGTTGCATTCAATCATAGTCTGCTTCTTACCTCAGTTGCTCAGTACTTATTATCCGCATGACCCATCTGTTTCCCAGGTCTATATTCCACGCAGTATGAGTATGCCGCGAGGAATTCAGTCCATCGCAACATTCGCGGTGAAAGTATAGCAGGCGTAGGCTTGTTGCCCGCTAAAATACCAAGAAGGGGCTTATGGTCTGTTTGTAGAAGGAAGGAGCGGCCATAGAGTTAGTGATGGAATTGCTTGATTCCTGCTACAGCTGCTAAATCCTCCTTGTCCAATTGGCTATAATTTCTTTCTGCCTTGGACAAGGAGCGGGAAAAATAGGCTATGAGAGCCTCGCTGCCATTTGGGCAACAATGGCTTAAAACA